AATTTTGGTGCTTTTAGCCATATTATATGTCGATAGCTGATCTTGATTAACATTTAGTACCTTCTAATTGACATAGAACAGTTTACATCTTGAGTCTTTGAACGTGCATGCTTTAGGGGAAATCTATGCCTTTCTGACTGGTATTTTATTTCATTGGTAAAATATATTCCCTTACAAAGACTGACACCTTCTTTCATTTGCTTGAATGTTGCAAAAAGATCTATATAGCTCCATCAAAGGCCTTGGTACAAGAGAAGCTCCGAGATTGGAACTAGAAGCTTGGTTCATGGGGGGTCAATTGTTTGGAGCTTATAGGTGACAGCGATTCTTATAACATAAGAAATATACAAGTAGATATTATTCTAACTACTCCTGAGGTAAATAATTGGGGATTTTTCCCTTTTTTCCTAACTTATTGAATTCAAATAGACACTGATTCAATTTGATAACATCTGGTTTGATTCGATTATTTATTTAGTTTAATTTATTGATTTTCAATTTGATAGGTCAGCTTTTTTGATAGGATAGCTGAATCTATCCCTTTACAAAAGCTGTACTTATTTTGTAGTACATAGATAGTTTTAGACTTTTGACGAATAGTTGTATAGCTGCAATTGCAAAGTTTATTTTTTTTGTTCCTTGGTTTTTGCCCACGCACCTTCCATTCCCTCCTATCGCCCTCTCTCGCACGCAGCACTGAACCGGATCTTTTTTTCTTGTTCCTCGGTTTTTTCAAAATTATTGGGTTGCTACCGTTATTAGTAGTAGTCAAACCCTGCCCACCATGCACCCATCCACTCCTTTTCTCTCCTTACTAGATGCTACCAAAGCTACCTTCCTCCCCTTCCTTTTCATTTCTATATTTATACTACATCAAATGTGTTCTGGTCAAGTTCTTCATCTTAACCAGCAACCATGCAATCAAGAACCAGAGAGTAAATAGGTGTACGTTGGAACAATGCCGGAGGGCTATTGGATAATCTTTGACAATGGAAAAAAAAAACATTTAGTGATAAAAAATGTCACGATGAATTTCTTTTTCTCTTAAATAGAATTTTCATGATTTATTCTCACTTGGTTTTAATTACTTCTCTTTTCTGCCAAAAATGCCATAAATTTGCACATTTTCTTTCATAAGTGGTTTGATAAATATTTTTAATACAACTGTACAAGTCCACACTCACTCCTCACGACCTCACTGCATGTTCCTAATACACTGGAATGTGGCTGTGAGGAGTGCTCTATGAGATGTGGCCATTAAATTATATTTGCTAATTAAATTAATACTAAAAAGTTGTAGAAAAGAATCCAATGCGATGTTGATTATAATATATTGTTTAAGATTTTTATTACAAATAAACTCCCAACTTGTCATTTTTTTTTCATATTTAATACTTTTCAGACCATATACATCTTATCTTTCTTTCTCAGCCCAAGCATCAACCATTGGTACTCTACACATTCTCTATCTCCTCTTCTCTTAGGTACACTCTCTCCCCCTCAATTAAATTTCATTAATTAATTAAGTAATTATTTTATACAACTCAGTTAAAATAAATA